GAAATGTTTCAGGAACTCGATAGTTGTGGCTATGAATCTGTTCTCCAGGCCATTTTTCGATGCCTTTAAAATTTTAAATGAAGTAATCAGTGATTAAGAAGGAGCTTATAACACAAGCCATGTCCAGGGGAAGTAGTCAACTTTTGCCTAACAAATTCTTAGAAACATTTTCATACACGTGCTTCTTGGTCTTTAGGCGAATGATATGTGAAGGCTTGAATTTATTTAGGATTAACTCGAGTTTGATTATCTTCAAGATGGTTTAAAATCAAACAGTTCGGTGATGGCGGCGATGGTAGTGGTGGTTTGGGGTGGTTTTAGTGTTGTTGGGGGTTTTAGGTGGTTGTGCAAGTAAAAATATTGGCAGCAATGGTGAATCTGGCGACAATTTTGGTTGGGGGTGCAGGTGGAGGTGTTGACGGTAGTGATGGTGGTCGACGATGGTGATGGTAATGGTGGTGGTATTGTGGTGTTGACTACGGTCGCAGGGTGGTTGCAAGTGGCGGTGGCAGTGGCAGTGGCAGTGACGCTAGTGTTGGTGGCGTGGTATGTGACCCACTATTAGGCGTATGTGACTAATTATTTGGTTACCCGCAACGAAGTATTTAATTAAAACCTAAAAATTGAATTGTCCATACTTAATACATGACGTGTGAATTTTTCTCTAAATTCAATTTCTAATTTCAACAGCCCAAATTCAACCTAAATTCAGTTTCTAATTTCATCCACCCAAATTCTCAGCCCTTATTTTTCGGGGTTTATTTATTTATCTTAAGGTGTTTAAAAGCTTTGTTTTATGCTAAACAGTCAAAATTAGACTGTTAAAATGATATGGGTAAGGAAACATGAGGAATAAGTAAGAAGTGTGAAAGCTGAAGTAAATACATGGGATTTGGACAAGAAAAAGAAAAGATTGTCGAGTTTGACTTTTTCAACTGCCACTTTAAACTTTGCTTGAGCGTTTACGCGATTTCGTAGATAATGTCGTATAATGACTTTTTTTAGTTATACGCGAAGACCCCCAAAAGTGAACTTGTGGCTTCGCCCCTGGTTTTTTACTGTTTATTCTACAAGAAAATTAATTTTTTTAAGCAAGTCCAAGTTGGAGGGAGGAAATCAAAAAGAAGTTTGCTACCTGTTCCCCCCAACTTGGCCCCCTGTGTCTGTGATGGCTCTGATCATTTAACATAATTCAATTAAAAAAAGACTTTGACCCAGAAAACATGCACCTAATCTCTATAAATCACGTTACGCTGACATCCGTAATAGTTGACATAATGTCACGTGACAATATAAAATACAACAAGATTTTTCATTCAATCACATTTTGTCAACTAATATTATATCATTCCATTTGTTAAACTCTTCCTGTCAGACCGCAAAGTTACCATATTTTTGTTGAAATATCAAAAAAATGAACTTCCACCAACTTCTTTCTCCGTCGCTTCCCCACGGATCCCACTCAAGAAAAATTTCGGTGGAACGGTTCTATGGAGCCACTGGGAATGGGCGACCGTCTCAATGGCATTTTAAAATTGTTTAAAATGAAATTTAAAAAAGGTTAATATCATACAAAATATATACATAATTTTGCTCTTTTAAAAATTTTTAGTCACCGCATATAAACACACGTGATATAATCAGTTCAGGTAGGACGAGGATAAGATGAAAATGGTAAAATGTGTGTCAGTGTGTGTACCTGGTATATCGGAGAGTCTTGGCTGAGTGTGGTGGCCATTACACACAACAACAGCATCAAACGTCTCCTCCTGACTCAGTCCACACTTCCTTGATTCAACCATCCACAGATCATTTCTGGAATCAACTCGTTGAACTCGGACAACTTCTGTATTGAACCGTATCAATTCAACGAGTCCAAAGTCCATGGCAAACTCGTTCAGAAACTGGAGCACCTCTTCGTGCCTGGGAAAAGTCCTGATTTCACCATTTTTCTTAATCTCAAATGGATAATCTGAAAACCCCATAAGTTGTCTGGGCAAATTGGTGCAGAGAGAAGAGTAAAGACTTCCATGTACAATTTCTCGGTTGGGATCAAGGCCGAGTGGGTCAGACTCGACTCGGGGATCGTAAACCCATGTTCCACCAAGCTGGTCTGATTTTTCATAGACCACAACACGGTGGCCTTCTCTTTTCAGCTCGCGGGCGGAAGCAAGTCCGGCGACGCCAGCACCGATCACTGCCACTTTTAGGGATTCCGACATTGAAAATGTGTTGATGCCTGGTAGCAAAGGAAGATACCGCTATTGCTGTTAAAGCCTAAAATAAACTTACTTGCATTTCATTAATTAATATATATATAGTTGGTTTGATTAGGGAAATTTGACTATGAACCACCAAATCAGACAAGGAAAAGACTTAATAGCAAAAAAGTTCCCTAGATTCGTCATGTAGCGTGCAACACGTCAATACGTTTCAAATTTCTGCATTTTCACCTCATTTTCACGTTTCATTGCAGAAAAAAAGTCATTTTACCAATTTTTAATGTAATATTAATGTACCCAAAATTTTCAAAAGGCTTAATAGCAAAAAGTGTCCCCACGTTTCTTCTCACACCTCACTCCCACCGAGTTAATTGTTCCAATGGTCACTAAATTTAGATCTATGTCTTTGATTAGTCATCGAAATTTAAAATGTCCAGTTTTGATCACTGAAGTTAGATTAATGTCTTCGATTGTTCACTGAATTTAGATCTATGTTTTAGATTGCTCACTGAAATTTAAAATGTCGAGTTTTGACCACTGAACATTGAAATATGCCGTACGTTACTCACTGGCATAATTGTTAAATTTTGAAAAATATCAAGTTTATAGTGAATAATGTACAGTATTTTTCAAAATTCAGTAAGTAATGTAAAATACTTTTCAAAATTTAGTGGCCAAAACTCGACATTTTAAATTTCAATGAGTAATCGAAAACATGAACCTAAGTTCAATGATCAAAATTCGATATTTTAAATTTCAATGACCAATCAAAGACATGGAACTAAATTCAATGACCATTGGAACAAATAACTCACTCCCACCCCCACTTGTTATTTTGGAGATTCATGGAATTTTTTGACTTCTAAGGTGGTGGCCCCATTTGAATTTTAGGACTTGGTGATGATTTTTTTCAAATTTGTTTCTTTAAATGTGCTCCTTCGCAAGTAGAATAGCTGTCGTAGAAATATCAGTAGAGAGGTAAAATTCAGATGGTTTTGACGACAGTGGAGGAGGCAAAGGGGGGAGAGGAGAAGAAGAGAAGGATTAAAGAGTTTTTTAATTTTAATATTTTAATAATTTATTTGGACTCATTTGCATTTTTTAAAAGTTTAGGAATAAGATTGCAATTTGTTTTTTATTTTTATTTTTATTATATTTAAATAGGAGGATATATTGATAATTTTACATTAAACGTGTAAATAAGGATGAAAATGCAAAAATTTAAAACGTAAAAAACGTTTTGCAGATTATGGGCCAAACATAGGAACGTTTTATGCTACTAAGTCATAAAAGGAAAACAAGAATGTCGCAACATGTTTGGCTCAACTTCTAATCAACTTATTTCCATATTATTTTGGCGCTAAGCACAGGGAAAAAATAATCCAAATCCAACCCCAACCTCCACTCCAGTCTCCACAAAATTTCATCCTTCTATTAGTGTGATACCCATAAAATTTACACAATTTTTGAAGAGGATAATTTTTTAAAAGGCATTTATTTTACAGACGAAGTGAAAAATTTTGTCAACACCTCTCTTACGAAATATCCTCCACCCAAATTTTGAAAATCTTTCTAAATTCAGGAGTCCCCAATTGAGATTTTAATGAATTTCAATGGAATTATTTAAAATCTAAATATTCTTAATAACTCGTGAATTTATAAAACTTTCATTAATGGAGAGATTTTAAAAAAATTCCATAAATTTCAAGCTTAATATATATATATTTCTCGAACAAGGTTTTTGAACAAAACTTCGATAAGCAAGAGGTGTGTGCAATTCCTCTTTCAGTTTGCAATAGTTCATCAAGAGAGAATACACTGATCTATTTCCACTGTGAACCTCTTGGCTCACCTGGGATATAAAAATAAAGATGAATTCTCCTTCTTGTTGACTGGAAAAAGAATAAAAGGCCGGTGAACATTGTTTAGACTCATAACTCTAAGATGAATAGCATGAACGAGCCAGCTTCAACATGCATCCCTCTCCCCAAGCCCTGGCCAGCCAGCCTTCAACCAATGCCAAGAATTTAGGTATGATGGTAGGCATGACCAATGGTATGAAAAACACGAATTACAAGCTTCCACTTTGATGCAAATTAGTATAAAAATTTGTATGATAGTCTTGGTTTGGAGATTTGAGTCAATATGATAACCAAGATGTAAGGAACTTTTCTTGCTCTCAATGTTCAAGCAGTAATACCCCTCGTCAAATTTTTAAGAAGTCTTCTTTGCTAAAGTTCAATATATCTTAATATTTTCACCTTTTTTTTCCCTAGTGAGCAGAATTCAGAAAGAGAGGAAAAAAAAAAAAAAACTTTCAGCCAATTGACAAGCCAAGGAATTGATCATTAAGCTACAAATTTTGGATTTTTGCCCTCGGACCACTAGAAACTTGTATTTTGAGGAAAACGTGTCAAGTCGTCAAATAAAACCTTTTAAAATAAAAAAGCCATCTGGAGAACTCCGTCTTTGATCATCAAACAAATTCTCAACATACACTAAATGTCAAAATAGTAAAAACACGAATATTTGCATAATGAATATTTTCAAGCTATAATATTTTAGTGGTTGGAGACTAACTACAATGCCATATATAAGACACATTTTGCCCTAAAATCAAAATGTTCAAAAGCAGTCATCTTCCAAATAGCATTCTTTACTGTCTGGATATTAAGTATAAAAATACGAACCATAAACTGCAATGACTTTCAGTTCATTGAAAAGCGAATGGTAAATTATTGAGGCTTTAGAAGAATGATGACACGATGATGCCCAATCCGACTTTCACTTATACGACCAAGGTGCCGAAGTACCTTGCAAATCAAATAATATCACAGATTAGAGTCTGGAACCATATAGTAACAACACAAGTATCTTATATGCATCCCTATTTGCCTTAAATATTAGCCATTTAGCAAGGTGAGTCTAGTATATGCTCTGATTTGCTGTGATTTTTTGTACTTTGTCCTAATACTTCTAGAATTTATTCTCCCCCAGCCCCCTGCCACAAACCAATTGTTAATTTCTGACCAAGCCACCGATATCAGAAATGCCTGATAAGGGGAAGTACTGTTAGCTAGCTACATGAATTAACCTCAAGCAAAGAAGTGTAATACGGCATCCAGGCAATCGGGATAAGGTGTTTGTCTTCAGAAGCTTACATGTCAAAAGATGATGTGTCCTTTGGGGTGAGCACTAAGTGCAGGAATTAGCCAGCTATCAATCATGCCATTAACGTTCTAAAACCCCCACTATTGAGGCCTGCACAACACCCAATTTTGAGGCCTACGCTCAAGTCCAGAATTGAGGAGAGAAGCAGTTTTGCTGATTCCCAAATAACAAGCATTTTTTTTTTTTTTAAATATCCAAATTGAGATCATAATCACTAGAACACATGCTTTGCATACAATTTCTCAGCTTATAATTATTTCTCCATTGTTGTAAAAAGTTATTTATGACACTTTGTGATGAATTATCTAAGCCTAATTCTTTTTGACAACAAAATATTTTCAACCTTTGAGAATATTAGAAAACAACACATGAAAGGCATGCAACCCAAGCCTGACTATTTGAAAAGCTCACGTGTTTAACTGATTCTTAGTGAAAGATATATTAACAGATTTTAGAAGACACGTTCAAGTTAGAAGTAGTACTGTGAATAGAAATATATGTTTCTATATCTTTCCTCCATTCCATAAAATAATTTTATGATCAGACAAATTAAATCCACTTACTGTCAGTGTTGCTTTCCCTGTATTGTCAAGTTTCAATGCAGGCCCTTTAATATCAGCTTCCAGAAAGAAATGTTTTCCTTTCACTACATTATTCCACGAGATCTCCCTTAATTCCTGCATGTATTATGGCATATTCAGATTCAAGGAACAAACTAATTATGAGGGAGATCCTTAAATGGGACAACTAGACATAGCTCTATTTGTAATAATGCATTTAAATATTTAAACAGAGCAGCATTGAACAATGGTCTGTGAATGAGTTGGGACCAACAACAGTGCAGACACCTTAGACAATTATGAATCCTTAATAATTGAGCACTTTAAAAGGGAAAAGAAAAAAACATATAACTCAACTTCTCTAAGCTAGATTAACTTACCAGAGCTCTGTCCAACATATTCTCTGACAGCTTAAAAAAAAAAAAAAAAAAAAATTAGAGAAGGAATCAGGATGAATGGATTCTAGCAGCTTTCAGGTGAAAAGAAAATGTCAGAGTGAGGAGCCTTCTTTCTTGGGGCCATGATAATCTGGGCATTTGCGTCAGCATATGTTGCCATGTCATTAATTGCTGCATTTACCTTATCCAGAGTAAGCCTTTGTTTCATGTACCTACAGTTTGCTAAAAGTTACTAACAAGATACATTATGGCTGATGGAAATCACCCCCATACATTTAGTTGCTTTGTTTGTAAAATGACATTAATTTTAGCAAATACGAAATGCAATTCACTTACGATGGCAAAGCATCCAGTTCGTTGTTAGCAATGTACCACATTGGAGGGGAAGCGCGACCCTTCTTCTCCTGGAATCAAAGAGGACTTTCAATATGATAGTAGAGCAGTCTTTCATGTCAAAAAACACAATACAGATGTCCACTTCATATAAAAAACAATCTTTGGAATAAATGGCCAACGGCTTTTTTACGGGAAGATGATGAAGGGCTTCACAAGTATTTCTAATTGTTATAGCAATGAGGGATCGAGCATGGAACCCCATTTTTTTTTTCCTCTCAACTATGATTAAGATTGGGAAATGATGCATTTACTTTTTCTGCTATATTACAACATTTATTTTTAATTTTTGTTAGTATTTTTAGGAATGATGCATCCACACATTTCATGGATCCCACCAACGTTTATCAACTCCATTTTCTAAAATCTGCATCAGTAAAGCCCTAAAAGTATTTGGAAATGTATAAGATCTTCCATTGCACCAGTCCTTCACAAAATCTTGTATGATTTAAAAATAGCATTCCTAGGTTTGCTTTGAAACTTGAATCCTTTGTCATAGGCAAGTGGCAACAAAATATAGTTTGAAGAAGTGGAAATTTGCAACTGAAACCGAGTTTGTTTTGTACTCTGTTGCTGAATAGTCCATGAAACATCTTTCCTCCAAAGGTCCATACTCTGCTAATATTTGGTAATATATTAACATGGAACTTGGAGCGACTGAGCATGGAGGCAAAAATTGAATTGGCTTATTAACATGGTGAAGGGTGAGGACCTCGATATTTTGGTGCTTGAATTATATTGTTCTGCTACTGTGTATTGTCTTTGGAAAGGTGCCATAGAGGGTTTGTTTTGTACTCTGTTGCTGAAGAGTACATGGACCATCTTTCCTCCAAAGGTCCATACTCTGCTCATATTTGGTAATATATTAACATGAAACTTGGAGGGACTGAGCATGGAGGCAAAAATTGAATTGGTTCATTAACATGGTGAAGGATGAGGACCTCGATATTTTGGTGCTTGAATTATTTTGTTCTGCTACTGTGTATTGTCTTTGGAAAGGTGCCATACAGGGTTCTAAAGCAAATGCATGCCCGATCAAACTATCTTTGAAGAGATTTAATGGAAGCAGGAAAAAGCTTTGAATTGAAGAGATACAAGGGTCACAGCTTAACTGGTAACTTGTTGTGGTCATTGGTACGAGATGATTGGATCATCATTCTGGTGTAAGCATTTGGAGTTTGACTTTACATTTGGAAATGCTTCCCCATATTCTTTACGAGGGGATAATGCTGAAGTAAATTCTTGCAAGTGCCGATGATTGAAAAACAAAATATAATTTTAAGAAGAAGATAAAGGTCATGAAAGATCCTAAAAGAAAAAAAAAAAAATTCCACAAAAAACTGTTTTTAACTTAGTTCACATTCATCCTTTTCTTTTCCTTCTTCCCAACTTCAAGAAAGTTTGAAGGTTTCGCACAGTGGAATCCAGTCATTAATCTGCACATTCTGGACGGTGACTTCACAACTAATAATTGTCTTTGGTTTAACTCAAACAAATTGGCACTCCATATGACTGTAGGATGCTAACTAGCTAGCAGAGCGTCTTGAAGAAAGAAAAAACCACACACATTCAAAACTGCTCAAGGGAAAGACAGATAAGTAGGGAGAGTTGCTTACCCTTGGTGCAGGCTCCTCAAAGTTCAGAGACTCAGTACCAAGATCTCGTATAGGCATTTCTTGTTTCACGCTGAAGAAAAGTACAACAGAAAGGAAAAAATGAAAAGTTCCTTACAAATTCATGCAAAATGAAATGAGAATGA